ATAGAGAAACACTAAAGAGATAACAATAAACCATATGGAAAGAAGGATGGTTAAGGATGGAGGAGATTGACACGGATTAAAAACCGTTACGACGAACTTGAAAAATTTAAGCTCAACCGTTCAAGATGTGCAAACCGTTACGTAGCTCCTTTAAGTTGAGGTTTCCGTCATTTGACGGTAATTTAAACTCCACAAAAAAGACTTAATATATCATGACAGCTCTTTAGAGGTCAAGCGTTTGATCATTGAAAATAATAAACACTTTCACATCAAACTACAACAGCTTTCACGGACAGCAAACGTAGGATCTATCGTAACAGCTATTATTTCAAGCTTTGGGATATCTGTACATAAATAGGTTTTGTACCAAAGGTGGAGTGTTGTTTATTTTTCATAACAATTAATGTCAAGACCATCTTTCAGATGAATTTCCCCAACAAGGATCCTACAACGACTTTTTCTCAGTTGACTGAGGTTGGTATAATTCGGAACCACGGAACGATTTAGCATAAACAAAAATAAGGCGAGCTCTAGAATAGCATTCATCGTAATGCTAGTCTATTTAACATGTAAAGTACAATATTTCAACTCTAGATATAATACAGTCATAGTAAGGCAGTGGCTCGAGATGTTTACACTAGAAGTATATTAGCGCACTAATATACTTTTTTATAGCTATTAGAACAAGTTCAATAGTCTGGAGTATTTCAGGCCTTCATTAAGGTTAGGCTTCAGGTTTGTTATTTAGTTCTTTAGAGGTTCAATGCAGTTTTTTAAAGGCTGGTATGCAAGAGTCTTAAATTTCTCAACAGTTTACTTCTACTAGCTGTTTAAATGCTGATTCTTTCTTGTCGCAGGACACGGACCTTTTGGCCGTTCTTGGTGACTTGCTTGATACAGACGATGTAGACAGACTTACAGCTCAGCAAACACTACAGCAAGCGTACTTCTGCAAGTGTGTTTGACTTCAAACACTGCCTCGACTCTGGAGTTTTGAACATTTTATTGTTATTGTATAGACAAACTGTTTGCACAAACTTGAACTCTGAAAAACCAGGAAATGAAGTCATCAATATCATCACTGGTGAGGACATGGAAAGTACCCCACGCCAGATGTAATTTCGTATAAATTTTACGAGTGGTATATTTTCCAAAACTGCACGGGCTTTGAGTCGAGTGCTGTTTGAGATAATTAGCTTAGTGACACGTGATAAATACAGGATACTAACATGACCGAGCGGGGCCCGGGTTCGGGGTTACGAATGTTATCTTCACATGCTGATGGTGTGAGCAACAGATACCATCGATACGAGAAGATAAAATTCGTATCTCCAAGTGGCCATGCAATGTTCTGTTTATTATATGGTTATTGATGAAACATCAAGATCCAAGTCTCAGTTATTCTATTCACCAAGGTCTGGACTGTAATCGAAAATGTTTAAATTTACACAATTAACCATTTTAACGAAACCCAAAGATAAAGTACGTTTTCGTCTTAATAAAAAAGTCAAATTCAACTTCAGTGATGTTGAAAGATAGATCATACATTTTCCGTAACCATGACGACATCGATATCCTCACGTGTGAAAGATAAAAATAGTATCTTCACTACGCACGACAAGGAAATTAAATTTCATAACCAAGAAAAATCCCAGTATTAAATCAATACCTGTGTAACGAGATGTGTAAGTAAGTAAACGTGATAGTAAGCAACAGAAGTAACGTGCCGATGATTAAGTGTTGTATGCCATTACAGCGGCTGAAACAAATGTGTGTGTATTTAAACTGTGTACATGAAATCCAGCTACTGAGATTTCCGATACAAGTACTTTATGGCATTAAAAAAAAAAAAAAAAAAAACATTTCTGCTATCTTTGACCAGTGTCTTGCATCCATCCATAGAACTCCTCCCATCCATGATGTTTATTTTCAGCTGGGACATGAGAAGGAATGCCCAGAATATCCAGTCTTGTGTGAAAAGTGCTAAGATAAGATTCCTTGAGCAAAAGTAAAAATTACGTTTCGTTGTGCATGTTTCGTTACGTGTGTTCGGCCGCAGTAAAATGTCTGATTCACAGAGAGGATATTGTCTGTAGGTCATGGTAAATTGTTTGATTCCCCGGGAAACTCCATAATAAAAAGGACGGGGGTGCTCGTCGGAAAGTTTAAAAAGAACCCCTAGGACGGGTACCAAGATCCTTATGGGCGTGGCTTAATAATTTTTTTAAGCCTTAAGAGGTACCAATTCTAAAGCAACACATTAACTGACACTTTCATAATTTTCTTGACAGCGATAAAGATGATGTGCTTCGAATACCTTTTACTCGTAAAGTTTATTGTCAGATATCTCCTGTCAAATTTTTGGGGCCTCCATACCCTAAAAGGTACCACGCTCAGCGGTGGAACTTTTGAGGCTGAACACCCTGAGAGGTAACAAAACCACCTTCTTAACCCCTTTAAGGTACGACAAGCATCCCCGTCCTTTTTATATGGGAGTTCCGCCCCTCCCCCCCGGGATTTGATTGTTCCTCGGAACAATGTTAGTCTTTTCTGATGGTTTTTAACACCGATTTTTCTAAGCTTTCTTTGCAGAAAGTTTTAATTTGCAAGTATTTTTGTTACAGTATTCTATGCACTTTCCGTGCTTCTGACTCAGGATTACATAATTATCCCAGAATATCCGCCGCTTGTAGGATGACTGTAAAACATTCCGTCAATATTCGACAACTAGGAAAAAATTCACCAATAATCCCCCCCACACACCCCCCCTCCGGCAACACCAGTGGCTTGCGCTCCTCAACTTTCATTTCGTTGATCTAAATCTTTGCCAGTTCAGTTTCTTGGGGCCTTTTTCACCTACGAAGCATTGCCAAATTGCAGGAGAAGTATTGTGACCACGTATTTTGTCGCTTTCTGTCCTCTTCACGTAAAAATTTGTCTGATATTAGTAGCTGGCATGGCACTTCGTCCTAACAGAAATATCAACTTTCAAACTGTATGAACCAAAGGAAAGAAAGTATTGCTATTACATGAAAGGGGCTCCCACAATAGTCAAATTGTTGAAATTGTACTTTCGTCAAAACATGGGAGAATTCCGCTCAAGTTCCGTTACATTTTACACGGTATAGGTTTCGGTTTGGATTTGAAAAGGGCGCGGCGTACTGAGGTTCCATCGTAGTGGGCGTGTGTTATAAGCTGGCATTCTCTAAACTACACAGAATACAGAGCCACTTATTTGCATACCACTGCATGACGTTTAGATGACTTATTGTACCCTAAAACAACATACTTCCGTGTTGGAAAACAGCTGATGGGGTCTTTCCGTCGCGATCTATTGGGTTCAGTCACGTGTCACGTCATTCACGATCGAATAACGATATCATTTCACATAACTTTACTTTTTCTTGTTTCATACCAGCCTAAGGAATCTCCGGATAATGACCTCTTGTGATTTGCGTATATGCCTTGTGATTCTTGTTACCACGAAGATATAACGTCTTTCAGTAACGCTGGATTTCGTCGCATCAGCTAATTTTGAAACGTTTTGTGTAAACCAGTAATAAGCCCCCCCCCCCCCCCCCCCCCCNCCCTCCCTCCCCCTCCACCCCCGGATATAAGGCCACTTAAACCCCCTTGTGAAGTTGTCGAAGTTGTTAAAGCCCAGTGCTTGTAGCCGGAATTTTACAGTAATTATTTCCCTGTCGAGCGGAAACTTGAATGTAAGTATGGGAACGCAATGGTAAATTCAGCAATTTGGATACAGGCAATATGTAATCATCAATGTCATCTACAATTAAATCTACACTGGATTGGACTGAATGGCTAAATAGGGTCGAATGGGTGAAACGAAGCTTAAGCTTGTTGTTTTTGTTGACTGGTGGAGCAAACGCAAACGATGCATCAGGCCGTAACCTCATCACTGAATAGATTAGGCGTTCCAGAAAACAGATCTAGACAAGTCGGTGCCTGAAAGGCCGTTCTTGGTTTGTAGGGTCAAGCACATTACAAACAGGTTTTGTTTTGTTTGGAGAATTGGAATTTACAAAGTCTACGTTCACGGAAACCGCAATTAACTAGGGAATGAAAGTTGCTCAAGGAGTATGAAACTTCGCGGGGTTGTCTTCATTTTATTTTCGGTTAACAATCATAAACAATTGCTTTAAGTGCGGCTTAAGATGTTACCATAATTTGAAACACTGAACAAAATTATGAAGTTGCTTGATCTGATGGAGTGTAGAGATTTATCATGTTTATTTAACATAACTTCATGTTTATATTACCAATTCGACGAATGTTAAATATTTCCATTGCAGTTGCAGCGGGGGGTTTTGAATGCCCTCTAAATTGTCGGAATTTGCTGTAAAATATAAGCAAAGTTGGAGTGACATTGTCAAATCATTCCGTCTAAACGCTAAAAAAAACCGATTCTTCACACTTGGCATGCCAAGACGTGACTTGTGCGCATATCTAGTTTTATTGTAATCCCCACGCCGTCATTGCACTGATGTTTCCAGGGTTTTTTTTATTATTATTACCTTGAGAAAACCCACTTCTGACACAACTAGTGTTGACACTTGCTGACAGCAAGTACTAACCAAAATATCTTATCACATAACTTTGATCTTTTTTTAGGTCCTAGAGGTCTTGCATGCGGACAAATATCAAACAAAACAAACTTATGGGGTCTTTTGGCGAACAAAGGCTACTTTGAATCACATAACAGAAATTACTGCACGTTCATTACAGCATCAATTGCGCATGTGCAAATAATCAAAATTGCATCTAAAAGTAGACAAACTTGAGAGAAGAATATCATTTCACAGCAAAACGAGCAGCGAAACACACGCACCACTAACATGAGCAGCAGGCCATATCGTTTTGGGCAATGGCTTCCTTCCGACAGGAAAGTTACTGACGAATGGTTAGCCAATTTGATTCAGGAAGTCAAAGTTAAGTCCAAAGATAAGTTAGATTTGATAACGGGTATACATCCACCAGATGAAAATGAAGAAAGCGCCATGGCTGGACTTCGAGCAGCGACTATCGCGGCAGAAGTTAAAGACCTCAATCTTCATAAACCAGTTCAAGATTTGTTGGATGCGATACTCTCCGATCCCGAGATCAACATGTTCTTCCATCAAATGTTCTGGCAGCAGTATCATCTCCCAGACACTTCAGAAGGAACAAAAATCCCGTCCTGGCAATTGATGATTATAATCATCGACTGCATCATGACAAAAGCCCCCGAGTTTAACAAGACTGGTTTGGTTGGCTTCCCCATCAATGTCATCTTGAACTGGCCAATGGCTACGACTGCTGGATTTGCTGCCTTCCTGAACGACAAAATCAACCAATTGTTCAAGAGTATTCTGAATTACTGGGGAGTGTTCCTGTCAAGTCCAAACTCTTGCTATGTTTTGAGCAAGGATCCCCGACATGGTTGGTTTGGCCACGATGCAATGGAAGCAATGCCGAACTTTGCTAAAGAGTTCAAATGCAACCCGGAGGCAGAGCATTACGGTTTTAAATCGTGGGATGATTTTTTCACCAGAGAGTTTCGCCCAGGAATCCGTCGGGTAGAATCTCCAGATGATGATTCCATTGTTGCGAATGCCTGTGAGTCGGCGCCGTTCAAGATATCTAAAGCCGTGAAAAAGAGGGACTACTTTTGGATAAAGAAGCAAAGGTACTCCTTGGATTTCATCCTGAACATGAGTGACCTGGCCAAGCAATTTTATGGCGGAACCATCTACCAAGCGTTCCTCAGCGCCACCAGTTATCACCGATGGCACAGCCCAGTGTCGGGAACCATTTGCAAAACAGAACTCGTGGATGGTTCCTATTACTCTCAAACCCACAACATCAGGGATGACCCTGCATCACCCAACATGTCACAAGGGTACCTGGCCCAGGTAGCAGCCCGAGGAATTGTCTACATTCAAGCTGACAATCCTGACATTGGCTTGATGTGTTTCGTCTCAATCGGCATGTCAGAAGTGTCTTCCAACGACATCACTGTCAAAGTAGGGGATAGAGTGAAGAAGGGCGATCAGCTCGGTATGTTCCATTTTGGTGGGTCCACGCATTGTCTGATATTCCGCCCTGAAGTGAACGTCGAGTTTGATACGCGAGGTCAAACACCCGGTCTGGATACAGACAATATTCCAGTTAAAGCTAAAATTGCGAAAGTACATCCCGCACACAAATAGGAGTGAGGATTGTGCCGGAACATTGAACTGTGATTTCATGAGTGAGTTTAGATTGTTATGTTTACGTTAATCAATTGAAATCGCGAGTCTGGTTTTCCGAGAAGTTTTAGCAGCCTCACAAGCACAAAAACACTCTTAAAGCAATGTCATGACTCGCTTCTAAAGCCATCTTAATACTACTGTTAAGAACGTTGCTTTCGGCATGAAATGTACGAAGCGAGGAATATATGTTAAGACCTTTATATTCGTTATTTACCCCTTGTTATGGCTGCTTGTTAGGGGAATTGGAAACTTCTTTAGGCAAAGACAAGACATTTAAAGGCGCTTGCACTTTATAATTAATATGCACATCGGTAGCTACTTTCTCCGAGCACTTGTTCAGTCATTCGGAACGAGCTAATTAGAATTTGTTAGGGAAGCTTCAGCCAGTATTTTTCCACCTAGTCCAGAAACATGTCAGAGAAAAATGAACGGTTCGAAGACGTTTTCGTTTATGCGGTATAGATCTTTCGGCCAGGAGCCCATCATGTCCATCATGGACGCTGAGCTCCTGCCTTCGGCTCAAAATTGCAATAAACGTTAAATTTAAATGCATGTTTTCGTAACACGAGCATGTGTAATAATGGAAACGAAGCAGTTAATCGAACGTTTCCTTGAGTTCGTATTTTGTCTGAAAATGACTAGATACGATGGTTTTACAGGTTAAGGAACGTTAGTTAAGATTCTGTACATTGGCCCATTAGTTAATATGCAGGGCTATATCGAAGGATAATTTGCAAATGTAATGAGCTTCAGGTATTTTGTTTTTCCTTTTGTAATTCATTCGGCTATTTTTAACTATCAGGATTTATTGTAGTTATTTGCCCATCTATGTGGCTAAATCGTCTTGAAACAGAATGAAGCTTGTAGGGGGTTGCAATACAGTATGTACGTTGATAACAAAAACAACACAGTGTCATGGGGTATTAACACAACTGTCGTATCATATTTACCTCAGCGTGTTAGTTAATTTATTGCTGAGTATTTAGAGTTGTAGGCGTGTAATCTGATTGAACAAATTGATAAGACTTTTTAGCCAATGAGAATTGTCTATTTGAAGGTGTACCAGACAACAAAAGGTTTTTTCTTTTGGCCAATCTTTTCGCTAAGGAATTGTGTTGCAGTGATTCTGAAGAGTAAATCTTGGTGAAATTGTGAAAAGTGTGGACGTTTGTCTTGCTCCCAGATATGTAAAACCTTGCAGTATCCACATTTTACAGCTCTGTTTGAAAAATTGCATGCTATGTGGAAATAAAGATCTTTGTCTTGTAGATTAATTTAGATGCTATTGAACATCATTTGTTTTGTTTTGCAGTCATATGATATGATATCTCAGATGATATCTATTGTAACAGGGTATACTGAGAGCTTTTACTCCATAGATCGACAATGAATAGAGCGTTTGTTAAAAGAGGGGGGGCGTAAGGGTTTGCGGTCATGCGGTTTTGCGTTATTTTTGGTGCGGTTTTGCGGAAATCTTTATTTTAACCCGCGGTATTGCGGTTTAATAAGACTAAGCGGTTTGCGGTTTTCATAAATTTTCGATCGCGGTAATCGGTAAAAAAGAGTCTGCAGCCGTCTGCGCTTTCC